AGAGAGGGGGGGAGACCTATGCCTTAGCCCTCTAGAACCCACTGACCCATATATGGCACACAACTAAACTGACCCTCTGATACAGGTAAAAGTGCGTTTATTGGGGCGAACCCTACCATTTAGTAAAGATTTATAACCAAACCCTGCAATTATCTTGTCTGATTGCCCCAAGTCTGTGAATGGAAGACAGGATGGGTCTCCCAGTTTCCTCAAAGTCACCGAGTGGTCAAGTCTTTGTTGTTGCCTCTTTTCAACCCCCAACAGAAAATCAAGGTAAGAACAATTTTATTTCTTTACGTCTCTATTCTGTTAAGATAAGTCCAAATATTATGCTCATAACGTTTTTGAAGCGTTGAGATATCATTTATTGCATAATTAATATCACTGTAATCATGTGTGCCAAATATGGCACATTGGGCAGGTAACTCCTGAATGTGTGCCAGATATGGCACAGTGGGTCTTTGTGGAACCATTTGTCGGCGACTACTCTTATACTACTGATTTTATGTGCTCTGCTAATATGACTGTAATTCATTCTGAATTTCAAAATTTAATCATTGATGTATTTGTATGTTGACCTTTACAATACTGATATATTGGTTTGTTCTGTGCAACAGTTATATTTATAATAGGTGTCTTACGTATCTACCTTTTCAGAATGTCCCCTCACCACTGCATCAAACATCGTGTGACTATATCTCCGCTGATGACAGTAAATTTTGAACTCTGGAGACGAGTACCTCCCATCTGATAGTGGGGACTGTGGCGGAAGTGACTTAGATCAGCCATCCACCTCAGCAAAAAGGCCAAAAACGCCGGTCTCATAAAGAACAAAAAACCCCTTGTTGAAATTACGCTACAGCCAACTCCGCATAGATTCTTCTGACTCAGAAGATGACAATACACCATTGGCCCAGCTGAGGTCCAGGGGATATGATCAAAAGCTTGAAGAGACAAATGTTTGGTGTTTGGTGGACTGACATGGAGTTTACTCCACCGGATGCTTCTTTCCGGGGAGCTTTAACAAGCCCCACCCAATGGCGCTGTGAAGGCCCCATTCCAGTAACAAATGAGGCAATTATAAACGTTTTCAAACCAATTGCTTACCCCATGCAGAATTTTGGGAAGGAATTGAATGTTCAAAAGAAGGACGTCGAAACTTTCTTAGGATTTTATCTCCGTATGGGATTGACCCGGTCCCACTTTGTCCGAGTAAACTAGGAGTCGGATAAGCGCTACCCTCTTGTCGCGGACTTGATGCCACGGAATAGATTCATGACAAGAACAGACAGTTAACATTTTGCAGACAACGTGTCGATTCCAGAGGCATCTCGAGATGTTGACAAACTGTTGAAACTTCTACCTTGGTATGAGGGCTTGCAGGTAAACTTCAAGAAAGTTCCACAAAAGGAACAAAGTGCTTTGGGTCATATCGTGGTGCCCTTCAATGGTCGTTCCTCAGTGAAGCAATACAGGAGAGGCAAACCCCACTATTGTCTGTTTATTATTGAAGAGTCCTGGACCATGCATGCCCCGTACAATCAAAAGAAAAAATCCTGCTCCGGGTGTGAGCTCTGATGGAACTGACCACCTCCCAGAGTGGACAGTGCGCCAACGATGCAAAAATATCAACTGCACTGGAAAGTCATCTGTCTACTGAAGGAAATGCGACGTGCATTTGTAACTCAACAGGGATAGAAACAGATTTTTAATGTTTAACAAAATGTGAACATGTTCTTTACGCAGGACCCATTGACCTATATATGGCACACATATTTTTAGACTCCTGTAAAACCCATTGACCCATATATGGCACACAGTGTTACGCAATAACTATTGTATATTTTCCAATTTTTTTTGCTCTAATCAACTTCTTAATACATATCTCGATCACCCTGTAAAGGAATAATTTTTTGGTCATGTATTTCTATGCTTGGGTTCTAGAGGGTTAAACATCCTGTCACCCCTATGGCTGACGATGTAGTCTCTCTCCGTCTGTGAGTGTGTTTGTGTGTGTGTGGGTGTGTGAGTGTGTGTGTGTGTGTGTGTGTGTGTGTGTGTGTATGTGTGTGTGTGTTTGTGTGTGTGTGTGTCGCTTACCTTGGACATCCTGTCTCCCCTGTGGCTGACGATGTAGTCTCTCTCCGTCTGTGAGATGCTGGGGTGATCCTCAGGTGAGTCGGACACGAACCCAAACCACACAAACAGCCAGATAAAAGCTGTACCTCCTGAACAGAAGAACAAAAAAAAAAAACTCAAATAGGTAACTACTTACAAAACTACATTTTAATTGTGGAACCCCACACGAAACAAATCATTATATCATGATAATATGTGCCATCGAAGTCGGATCGAGGAATGCTTTTTTAAAAATCTGGATTCTTTCTATTTTAAGCCGCACAAATTTCAGATTCCATCCGCATATCTCCTCTCCCACCCCCACCCCTCACACC